GAAACAGCCTTGTGGGCCAGCCTGGCCCTGCCTAACGTGTGGTCTCTCAACACATTCCTCCTGGGGAAATAGACCCACTGTCTCTTAGCCAGCCTGGGAGCCCCAGGGGGCTCTGGTGACAGGGCTGGCAGCGAGGAGGAGGGCAGATGTCCCCAGTGCCCGGCAGCACTGCCCCTTCACCTTGGTATCTTACCTCCTGGCAAGTTTGAGGTAATTTGGGGTTGGTAGGAGTATCCCTTTGCCTGGGAAATGGGGTCATATCTCAGCTGTCTCTGGCACTGGCTGGGGAACAGGACTTAAGATCTGACACCCCGACATGGAGCCCTCCTTGGCTTGGAGAATGAGTGGCCTTTAGCTGGCTCCGTGGCAGCGGAGAACATGCTGGGCTCAGGCGCTGTCCTGGCTGAGGTCAAATCCTAGCTTCACGTTTCCCACCAACTACATTTTGGGTGGAGCCGTTCCTCTGCCTCCTGAGAGGTAGAGGGAGGGACACATGAGTTGGGAGTGGGGGAAGGGGTAGAAATGATTTAAATTCAGTACCCATGCATGAAATACTTAGAAAAGTTAAACAAATAAGCAAATAAACCTATATATTTTATACGCTAATTTCTGACACTGGAGTGGTGGGGGGTGTCATGATTCCCTCATGAGCTGTATCTAGAAGTCTGAGAAATACCACACAAGAGGCAGAATACAGACAGTTGTAAATTGGTTTATCTCCTGACAAGGGATGACCAGAACATTCCTTTCTAAACCATTTGCCTCTTTAGTGACAGTAAGAATCCAGCGGTAGTTCCAGGACAGGCTCCAAAGCTACAGAGAAACCCTGCCTCGAAAAACCACTACTACTACCACCACCACCACCACCACCAACAACAACAAAAAGATCCCAGCAGTGCTGGAGGCATCTGGTACCAGCTGAGCCTTAACAGTGTGACCCTGCAGGCCCGGCCAACCCTTGCCATATACCCTTACCTTGCTGGTGGCGGTGGCGGCAGAGCCAGGCAGCACAGGCGTGTTGGTGACTTGCACGTTCAGGTAATTATTGTCGATGAGCGGCCAGGCGCCTTGCACCTTGCACGTCTGGAAGTGGTCTGTGAAAGTCCTGAGGTGCGGGTCCCCAAAGAGGCCGCAGTGAGTGTAGTTGGGGGCAGCTGAGTGCTTGTGAAAACTCTTCTCGTAGTGGCAGATCTCGGGGCTATCCGAGCGCTCCTGGCTGTCCCCGGCTGGCGGGAGCGTGCGCAGGCGTGGCTGTGAGGTGGGGCCATCCTTGGAGCAGTTGTGCTGGTTCATGAGGTCCTCTATGCCATGGACAGCTGAGTGGTAAGCCAGGTCACCCCGGCAGGTGCGGGCTGTCCGCCGCGTGCACAGGGCGTAGGTGCGCAGGGCTGCACAGAACTCCGGCACGTCGTCAGACGCAGGGACGTGGCTGCCGGACGTGGCACTCCAGAACTCAGAGTTGCACTTGAGGATCTTGCAGGGGGTGATGGCTACGGAGAAGAACAGACGCGCCATCATGTTGGGACCCTCTTCTACAGACCTCTGTGGGTTAGAGATGCAGAGAGGCCTCACCTAGATGGTGCCACCTATAATCCACGCCCACTGATCAATGAACTGTACCGTAACTTGCCCTATCTAACCTTCCAGATTCTTCTGCATAGCCTGCTATGATGAGGAGGGTTCAGGCAGATGGGCCAGATGCAGAAAAGGGCCAGCATTTGCATTTAACAGGATGGCGATTTTTGACCAACCATCCTTGGACATAAAAAAAAAAGTCAATACATAAGAAAGAAAACAAGAGGCCGGGCGGTGGTGGCGCACGCCTGTAATCCCAGCACTCGGGAGGCAGAGGCAGGCGGATCTCTGGGAGTTCGAGGCCAGCCTGGTCTACAAAGGGAGTTCCAGGACAGGCTCCAAAGCTATAGAGAAACCCTGTCTCAAAAACCAAAAAAAAAAAAAAAAAAAAAAAGAAAGAAAGAAAACAAGATACTTCTACTTCAGGGCCATCTCCAAAAAATTCTAAGCAAAGAGCAAAAGGAAGGTGATAGGCATTTAAACCCCACTGTTAAATATGTGTCCCCATTCCTGCCAGAACAAGACCTTGCAAAACTCTCTACATCTTTATACTGATTTGAAATAAGGAATGACAGTAAAATGTATTGTGTGAATGTATTGACTGGTAGTGACTTATTGCGCACACAGCCGTGCGGCCAGGAGTCCCTGCTCACTACAGCTGTACAGTAGAGACAACCTCATCCCTGAGTGCATTCCCCAGTGTCTCCATCAGGGCGGAACAATGACCCAACACCAAAATGACTTCAGCTTTTCCTGGGGGAGCTTTCCCGTCACACTGAGGACCCCACCTCGCTCTCTGGAGGTCCTGGGTCCTCCCCGGACAAGGCACTCCAGAACTCGGAGTTGCACTTATAAAAATCTTGCAGGGGCTGATGGCTAGCTGACTAGTTCCCAGGGACTGTTTCTTAAGGTGGGCAGGGAACACCGTTAAATTCAATCAATGCCGGCTGCTACATTGTATCCTGTCACAGAGGAACTGGCTTCTCTTTCCAATGGTCTGGGAAGCTGACGGAAAGCGTTATCTTGAATCTGTCTAGTTATTATTATTTATGAGGGTGTGTTTGTATGCGCACGCACCTGCTCTTGTAGACCAGGTTGGTCTGGAACTTAGAGATCCACCTGCCTCTGCCTCCCAAGTGCTGGGATTAAAAGATCACCACCACCTGGCTCTAAATGCTTTCTTTTAATAAGAATTGCCTTGGCCATGGTTCTTCATAGCAACAGAACGGTAACTAAGGCATGAGCACAGAAGTCAGTCTCCGTGAGACTCAGGCTTTCGGCTCAGAATCAGGCTACCTGTGTTTCTGAGATTTTTGGTAAGCAAGCTCCTTTGGGCTGTTACCGGTTGAACATGCTTTTCTTTTGGTTTGAGAGGTCATGTGTTTATGTGAGCATTAGGGAGAGAATTTAAAAGCAGACGTCCAGTTTTCCCACCTTTACAGCTTTATGGAGACTGAAGGCTGACTTGCATCAGAACAGAGCCAGGTATGGGGGTGCATATTCAGAATCTGAGCGCTTGAGAGGCAACAGCAGGAGGGTTGCAAGCTCTGGAAGCATTTGGTGGCACAGTGAGACGCTGTCTCAGAAAACAATTGAACAAAATAGGACCAGTGCGTCAGCCTGGGCCACTGATCCACTGGTGCCTGCTGTGCAGGGCCACAGCAGCCAGGGAGCACAGTGAGACTCCACATATGTGACCTCCCAGACATCCACAACCCATGGTGCCCGAGGGCCTGGCCTGGGTGGACACGGGGACGCCCTGGGCGTTGCTCCTCTAGATGGAGGGGAGGCAACTGCTACGCGGCCTCTGACTACTGGCCCAGTGCTAGGAGCCGAATGCTGGCTGGCCATCCTGCTGTCTCAGAATCCCAGAGCCAGGGTGCATGAGAAAAGCGCCACAGATAGAGTCGGCCCTGACTGGAAACTACACGGGGGTCCATTTTACCTCACCCTCACCAGGACGGAGGGAAGGAAGGATGGAGGCCCTCGACTGCTCATGCCCACACCCTCCTTCAGAGCCGGCCAGCTTCAAATCCGGTTGGCTGCACAGCTGGGGCTGGCAGATAGCAGCCGAGGTCACTCATCTGGGACACTTGCCCCCAGGAACCTAGGTCTCCATTGGCTCCCTAATCCTGGGGATACTACAGGACCCTAAGTGGACTTCTTTGTCCCACGTACTCTATTTCTCAGCCATGTGGCGAATGTTCTCCATGCTATTGCTCAGGGCGGAGGACACAGAGAGGTCTGAAGGTGACGTGGCATGTGACGTGGCAGGCAGCGGAAGGAGGACATTGGGCTCAATTTCACTTCTGAGAGTAGCTGTGAGGACCCAACTCCGTCTCAATTTCTTTATCTGCAAAGAACTTGCCTTAAGGGCTAACTTCAGATTGAACGACATTCTAATACTTTGTCTTTGCTAGTGAGCAAAGGAAGAAACTTTGGGCTCTATGCCAGAAAGAAAAATGGGGGCACTTGTAACTTCTCCACCCAGAGACACTCAGGGGAGTCTGCGTGTCAGCAAACAAGAGACCCATTGGTGTCACAGGTGACATCTAGTCAGCCTCACAGAATTGGGGTCACAACTTAGGGGGCCTTTTGGATTTGGGGCAGGCATCCAGGGTCAAACCCACAGTTGTGTGACCTCCTTGAGCGGCCATCATGCAATGGGGTGGGGCGGGGTCGGAGGTGCTGACTACGCCAAGCCTGCAGAACTCAGGAAAGACGATCCCGGAAAGAGGTTTGTGTCGTAAACTTTGCTCAGTTGTCATTAGCACTGCTGGTGTAACGTGGAGATTTACCACGGCTGGATGTGCACACGCTCAGTGGCTCCAGGACTTGCTACGGCCCTCAACCGACAGGTAAAAAAAGGTGCCCAGGCCTTGGATAGCTTTTCCTCTTAGGTTTCTTGACACAGGCAGGATGTAACCACGGCTCTCAGTTCCCCAAACCACCACCACCTCCCCTCTGAAAAACCAAGCAACTTTCATCTTAGGCTTTCACTATTACCCCGGAGGCAGGAATTTTTCTTTTATCTCCATTTTACCAGTGGGCGGCCTCAGGGGGTGGAGTCGCCCTGGGTCACAAAGCCACAGGTGTGCTTCAGCTGTGCACTGGTCTTAGGACTGCTTCTCTGACTCTCTCTGCCTCTGCCCCCCTTCCTTTCCCTGTGTGAGGCATGCATGTGTATGGTATTTCTATGCAGGTATCTCCCACCCCCACCGTGTTTATGTGTCCACGTGTGGTGTGTGTGTAAGAGGTAGATGCCAGGTTGGTGCTCTATCTTTTATGGGGGTGCATGGCTCTCCCTAAACCCGGAAGTTGATGTTTTAGCTGGACCAGCCAGCCAGCCCTCAGGATCCACCTGCTCACATCCTTCAAGAGCCAGGGTTACAGGCTCTGCTGTGCCTGGCTGTTACCTGAATGCCTGGCATCCGAACGCAGGTCCTCAATCTCACACAGAGTGATCCACTAGTGACCGGTGCACCTCCTCAGCCCCATTCTATGCTTTTCAGAAACGCACTCACTACAAGTCCTTCCTCAAGACACCGTCTGAGATGACCGGCTCCCCAAGGCCCCAAACACCGTGATCTGTTGCCTTGCCCGGTTCTGTTGCGGCAGCACAGATTGATTCTGCGCCCTCCCAGCAGTAAGCAGACACGGAGGCTGCTGAGAAATGACCTGTCTTTGACTCTTCTGCTGCCCTGAAGCTTTGAGACCATAAGCCAGCCTTGAGGGGCCTCCCTGGAACCTCCGGAAAAGGCTGAACTCTCCGACGGTGGAAGGAGACATTGGAGTTCAGAATAGGACAACTGCCTACAAGATGATCCGGACAGTGGTAAGTCGGAGCCAGAAGTGGGTGAGCCCCATGAGTGCCCTCTGCTACCTCTTCAGAGGGCACTACTCTGGAGTCTGTCAGCCTGAAGTGATGTACGTACAGCTGTTATTTCTTAAGGACCTTGGGGGAGGGACCTCCAAGATACCACGACTGGACTGTCTTCATAGGCAGCAAGCTGAGAGGCCCTGACATCTTCAGAGGTATCACCCTTCACCCCGTGTCCTCTGTTCTAAATCACCAACTACAGGCCTCTTAGGGGTCAAGGGACCTATAGCCAACTTGGCCTGGCATCAAAAGCAAAAGCTGTGGGGTCCCCTATCAGAAGTCCCCGAAAGGCTGCTTTTTTATTTGACAGATACATTATTTCACAAATATGTATTTAAGCAAAAGATTTCTGGCAGTAATCTGGGACTTCTGAGGACAATATTCATGGAAGCAGAAGAGTCTGGGAGTATGTAACACATCTTACAGCAGCTTGTACAAACAGAGGGCAAGGCAGCCTTTCTGAGCCAATCCCTCAGCGCTCTCTGCATGACAGAAAGGGACTCACTGCCCCAGTGGCAGGTTACTGTTCTTTTGTGGGTATGGCATGTGAGTGGCCCCACCTCACCCGGTGATGTAAACGTTTTCCTAGTTCTTCTTTCTAAGAAAGATATTTTACATGTGTGTATATATTATGCATGCGTGTGTGTGTGTACACACATGCTGTAGCCCATATGTAGGGGTCTGAGAGAATCCATAGGAGTCCTTCTACCCTGTGGGTTCTGGGAATGTAGCTCAGGTGGTTAGTCTCGGCAGCAAGCACCTTCAACCTTCTGAGCCATTTCACCAGCCTGGTTTTTCTCTTTCTAAGCCTTCCGGGACTGAGGATGCTTCTGGGTGGTGGTGGGGTCTCTTTGATTCTCGCTGCCTGGTGCTCTATCTCACCAAGAGCCTGACACTCCGCAAAGCTCGCGAGACCTTGTGTGCTTGGCACATTTTGTTTGAGCCCAGGTTTCTTGGGTCCACCAACATTTAGGATTAGCTACTGTCCCGAGAATGACAACTGGACAAACAGGAGAATCCAGAAGCTTGCAAGGA